CAGTGGTTAGAATGGAGTATTGCAGGCTAAATCTGCCAACTGCCAGCAGTTCAAACCTGACCGGCTCAAGGTTGACTCAATCTTCCATCCTTCCGAGGTTGGTAAAATGAGGACCCAGATTGTTGGGGGCCAATATGCTGGCTCTGTAAACCACTTAGAGTGGACTGTAAAGCACTGAAGCACTGTATAGGTGCTATTGTTAAAGTCAGAAACCTACCCAGCATTCTGAATTTCAACTCCCATCAAGTTCAAGCAACATGGTAAAAGTATAGGTCTTGTGGGTCCAGCATATCTGGGAAATAACAGGATTTCTTCTTTTCATGTACAGTGTTTTTACAGTGTTTCCTCGCCTTGTTAGCCTCCTTCCATCCTTCTGTGAATCCTTTATTCCCCTTTGTTTTAGCAGTGTTGTTACAAAACAGAGTGATTTCAGCCCAAAGGACTACTGTGACTAATTAGCAATAAATGTAGAACCAACCTAGAACTAAAGAAAAATTTCCTGACAATGAGAACAATTGATCAATGGAATGACTTGCCTCCAGAAGTTGTGGGTTCTCCAACACTGGAGGTCTTCAAGAAGAGATTGGACAACCATTTGCCTGAAATGATGTAGGTTTCCTGCATGAGCAGGGAGTTGGACTTGAAGATCTGCAAGGTCCCTTCCAACTCTGTTATTCTGTAGGAAGCTTTTTGTAATCTTGCTCTATCACCTCATTAACAATTTATAGCATTTTCTAGAGTCACCCAATCATCACTGTGTCAAAATAATAGTAATGAAGACAGGACAATGCTATGAAGATACTGTAAATTTCCCAGAGTCGCAATGCAGTTGGGTGGCCTATAAATTTAATTAAATAAAGAAATAGGTCCCTACTGGAGAAATGGTGTATATATTTCAGGATTTTGTGTATTGGGTGGCTATGACTCTCCAAAGTCCCATTTCAGAAAAGGATTCCTTGACAAGGGTATTGCTGCAGATTGAATAATGAAAGCTATGCCATTTATTTACCCCATTGAGTGAGATGGTGTCATAGGATATGGCTCACGGCTGTTAATAGATGCGATAAAGTTGAAAGATCTGAGCTCTTCCCCTCAACAGAACAAGTTAGTCACACCAGATTAAATCTTGCTGCTTTCAGTAAAGCAGATAAACTTTGAACCTGACTATCTTGTAAATATTTTGAGTGTTCCACATTCACCCATAAATGACTCTTTTGTTGAACCTTCTCCCTGCCACAGCTGTTCTCACAAATACATGCACCAACATTCACTCCTGCAAATTACCTACCACACTACATCAGGCACCTCAGTGGATTAAACCTGCCCATCTGGTAAGTATCTTCCTCCTTAAGAAGCACTGTGAAGCAGTATATAAGTCTAAGTGCTGTCACTATTGTTTTTCTGTTGTGGCCCCACACTTCATTGTTCTCCAGTGCTGGAGGATTACAGACCCCTCTCCCTCAGCAGCCAGAATAACCCCAGTCCATTACATTTTTAACATTACTTGCTAGCAAGAAGTGTCCATCTTGAAGGAGATTTGCATGTTGTTTAGTACTATTTTTAGTCTGTTGTAATTCACTTAGGATCTTCTGAATGGGTCAGGCTATAAAAATATCTTCCTCTGAGTGCTTGTAGAGATCAGCAGGAAAAAGATTGAATTTTAAATGCTGCCAGATTGTCACTTCTGTGGCTCCAGTGCCAAAATTATCTTTGATTCCTACTCAAACACAATTTCCTACCTAAGCAATAGCCTTAGGTAGTGTCTTTCAGAGTAACCATAGAGAATATAATATGTGGTTTCTTGAACAATACCCAGCGTGGAAACATTATCTTCTTGATCAACGTATCTACATTGCTCTTCTTCTGCTCCATATAAAACTGCTCAAATCTTGAAGGGCATTTCAGAAGAATTATTCTGCAGATAAAATGGTGTCAGACAGAGGAAAGTTTCCTGTAAAATCCCAGTCCTTTTTTCTTTATTGCGATCTTTGACCAGCTTTTATAATAAAAAAGTTACAGTAAAAAAGAGTAAGAGTTTCACACAAGAATTCAGGGCAATAAACCAACACATCTAATTAAACGTTTTGTGCTGCTGTATAACTTGTTGAAGATATTTGGCCACCTGATATGTGAGTGTGGGGTAGGCATACCCAAAAAAATAATAAACATAAAATTTATCTGTATGGCCCTTGTATTTGGGCATCATAGAAAGGGCACCATGTGAGTTCATGATTGAGTGTTTCTATTTGCCTGCATCCACAAAGGCAAAGTCTTTGCAAATAAAGAGTCCCATGAAATCTTCCCGTCAGTAGAGTTGATGGGTGGGCATCAAAGTGGGCTCTAAAAAAGGCCCATCTATAAATGTTTAGGGTTAAATTGTATAAATACCCCTCATTAGAGAGCTTATGACTTTCTAACATTTAGTGATAGAATTCAGGGGCACTGGTGATATCATTTTGGCAATCAATGCTCTTGTTTCTCTCTTTTACTATTGATTTGGCCTTCTCCAGGGTTAATTGGCCTAAATATTCAGGAGAGAGGCCAAGGCTGCAAAGTTCTCCTATACAAATATGGTGCCAATGAGGTTGTCAGCAACAGAGGAATCAGGCCTCTGTTTCCAGAGCCAGAAGAATTTTGGTTATAGCTCTTCTCAAACTTGCTGCTGAATATTATTATTTAAAATAACAGAATTAAATATGTGGGAAGCAATCATGTCCACTGTACTTCATTAATGCAGTTTTAATCACATTTACATTGTAATGAAATAATAACCAATGTAGCTTTTGTCTTGGCAACATTCCTTTCCTTGTGGCTTGTGCTACATTCAATAAACATGTGGAGCTCTCCCCCCCTGCCCCCACAAAAAATTGGTTGTACAGTCCTGCTTTCCTCATGAAAAATCATAGACTTGGTTTAGACCAGGGGTAGGCAACCTCGGCTCTTTTATGACTCGTGGACTTCAACTCCCAGAATTCCTGAGTCAGCTGACTCAGGAATTCTGGGAGTTGATGTCCAGGATTATAAAAGAGCCGAGGTTGCCTACCCCTGATTTAGACCATTGAAGTCTTTGAGTCCAACCTTTAGCTCCATGGCAGGATCCAACATAAAGCATTTTAGGTAGTCTAACCTCTCCCAGCAAATCCTATCAGCTTCTTCATTCACCAATTCCACTGATGAACTGCTGTTTTAGTTAAGAAGGTCTCCTGCTATTGAGACTGAATGTTTTTTTCCCCTATGACTTCAATCCATTGTTCAACATCTTGTCCTGAGGGATGATAGAATAAGATCTTGACCTTCTTCAGTTTACATCCCTTTGTATTTGAAGGATGCCATCATATCTACACATACATATCACACACTGTAGGAACCATGGAGATGGCCTTGGAGTAACTATTAAGATAACAACACATGCATAAATATGTTCTGAGTACAAAGCAAAAGGAAGGTCTTAGAGAGAGACTCAGACTAGCTCTCCCCAAGTCAGATTAGTAAGATTCTGTTACTATAGCCTATATATCAATAAAATATAGTTGTACTCTTCTTGTGGAATCTATTTCCTGATCTGGGCAATTTCATAGGGTTCACACACAAACACAAAGAGTTTATTTTCTGAAGCTGTCTCAATTTTTTCAATGTCTCTAGAAGGGTGAAGGAACCAGTAACCTGGAAAATTGCCCTTTTTTGAAGGTGTTTGAATGGAGGTTGGAGATTCATATGTCTCTAATATTTTTGTTTTTATTCTTACACCAAGTATGGGGTTGAATGCAGGAGCCCAAGTAGTTCCTTCTAACTCTAATATTCAGTTATATTGATTGATTTTATCTGATCTGATGGGATTGGATTTATATCTCAAGTTTTTGTTCTGGCATGCACTCAAGACAACTAACGACAATTTAAAACTTAACTAGAATCTGAAAAGTGAAGCTCTCTCAGTTGTCTAGGTTGCTTCTCTCCTTGATTAGTTTCCCTCCATTGCTTCTTGTCATGCCCTCAGGTGCTCTGAAGAATAGTTTGACTCCCTCTTCTTTGTGGCAACCCCTGAGATATTGGAACACTGCTATCAAGTCAACCCTTGTCCTTCTCTTCATTAAACTAGACATACCCAATTCCAGCAACCGTTCCTTATATGTTTTAGCTTCCAGTCCCCTAATCATCTTTGTTGCTCTTCTCTGTACTTTTTCTAGAGTCTCAATGAATGATTCTCCTAATTATGCTTGATGCCTCTCAGAATCTTTTCCAGTTGATCTGATTCTTCCTTAAAACATGAACTCAGCTCAAAGTGAGTTTGGGAATCAATTATCCTGCCATCGTTCCTAATCCAGTGAGGCTGGGACTGAATCCAGTTTGAATGTTGAATTCATTTGGGAGAATTAAAATCACTGGGTAATTTAGATAACTCATCAACTTTTCAAGATTATTGACAGGAAAAACTAGGCATGGGAAAACCAAGTATGAAGTCCTAAGAGTGGAGGAAGGGTGGAATGAACTCTTAACTCCTCCCTCTCAAGTCTTCATAGCCGCCAGTAACTCACTGTCAAACGATCTTCTAAACTAGTTCTGGAAACCCATCCAGAATTTCAAATTCCCACTCCCAGCATCCCAGATAAAACACAAGTATTTTTTTTTTTAAAAAAACAACAACCTGAAAATGGCCAACAGCCCAAATAACATGTGGTGATGTTACACAAAGATGGTGTACTATAGCTACATAGAAAAGGCTTCCAGACATCTCCCCTGCCAGGGTTCAGTTCTTTAAAAGCGAACCTCACTAAAACTGAACAGTATGTTGCTCTTCTAGCCATTTGAGAGAATGGCAGAATTGTTGACAGAAACTGAAGTACAGAGAGGAAGGAGGAGGAGGGAGTTAAGTCAGGCACAGGATGAAATCCCACTGGGCCCAGCTTCGTTTCCCAACATTGTTTTTAACGGTACATAGGCTGTTTTCTGTAGCACCAAGGGGAAGCTTTGACACATCTGTTTCAATACTTCTTTCGGCTCAGGTGCCCTTCTCCAGCTGATCTCAGATGTGGCTAGAGGAAGAAGCACTGCCTTCTCCAGCAGGAGCTGAGACCGCTACATACCCGCCCCTCCTGCTCTGTTATTTGCTCTGCATCACGTGGAAGAAAGAAGGGCAGCTGAATATCTCTAAGGAATGTGCTGCAAACAGCTGGGTTCATCATTACCTGCTGTACTCAGGAAGCTCTGGGTGGCCACTGCTCATGGTACTTGGCTTTCATGGACACTTTTGGGCTTATTTATTTTTTAAAAGAACAGAGAACAACAGGGGGCGTCAAACTGAGTCAACATCACCAGAGCTTAATCCCAGGAACCAGATCTTTTAGCATATGCAGTGCAATCAGGGATGAAAAGTACACATGGCATATGAAATGCCTTGTCATATAATTAAGTGACATAGTTAGCCTACAGTCTGTTCCCCATAGTTGCAATATCAGAGATCTCAATTCCAGATGATTTCATTGAGACACCCAAATAATTTTCTTGGCAAATAATACAGACGTGATTAGCCAGTGCCTTCTTCGGAGATGTTTTGAACGTCCCAGTCTAACCTTAGTCAGGTGGCTTCCTATCCATAAATCTTGGTATCTGGATTGGTTCTGTATCCCCCAACCCCTTTAGTATATCAATCATAGGAGTTTGCTTATCTGTCTTCCTTCCTATGCACAATAGAAAGCTATACTTGGAGCTGGAAAAAAATCAAATTGCTGAAGAACTAGAAATGTTTCTTAAGCAAGTGAAGAATTTGGACAGAAAGCAGAAGTAGCAGGTTCCCACAATATCCACTGAAGCATTTATCAGTAGTTATTTCATGAAACCTACTGTTAGCAGAGGCAACTGTCTATCCCTAGTGGAAACCCTTTCACTTATACCAGGAAAAACAGTACTTTCAGAAAGTATCCTCCTCCATTCTGGTGTTCTACAGATTTCTAAGAGTCTATTGTCATCGAAGGATGGAAGATCAAAAGAGTAAGCATCAACATTTTGGCAGGGCATCAAGGTTTTAAAAAATTCTGGAAGCATTTTAGAAATCCTGTCCTATTTATTTCTGAATTAGTTCATCAAATTGACTGATTATAGGCCAGTACATCAGTGTCAGTTCTCAGCCACCAGATAAATAACATTTCTTCATGAACATCTATCCCTGCTCTGTCCCAGATCTGATCCTTCAAGACTTCCAACATTGCACTCATCACCAATGAAACTAAATTTCCTCACCTTGTGGCAGGTCACCTCTTCTTTTTCCTTCAAACTTTCCCAGTAACAGACCTTTCTCCAGAAAGCTGCTTCTTCACATAACGTATCAGAAGTAGAATAATTTGGGCCTCATCATTTGTGCCTCAAGTGAGAACTTTGGGCTGCTTTGTTCAATGATTCATTTTCTTGCCTGTCCATATGGTAAGGGAGTGTTTAAATTTCAGATGCAGCACTCCATTGAAAGAAGGCATTCCATATATAAGATAAACTTCTCTTACATTGAGTAATTTTATGCTGGATATTCTGTCTAGACCTTGGCTGGTCTTGAAAAACCAAACATGGGGCAGAATCATGAACATGAAGTCCAGAAGACTCCAGGACTCAACTTAAAACTGACATTACTCAGTTTTATTATAAAACGGATCAGATGGGGGGGGGGTATTAAAAATGAACTAGGGAAGGATTTGAAGGTAGTAGTCTATCCTCAAAAGAATAGAAATTATGTCGGGGTGGGGGATATAGTTCTAAAAGCATATTCAAGAGAAACAGGAGAGAATTTTTTAGTTAGCATACGAGGGTAGAATACTTGAAGATAAAATAATAAGATAAAACCCTGATCTTGGATGGCTTTGAGAGTGCTGACAAGGAATCACAAAGAGTGTGAAGTTTTGGCAAGAAGATTCCTGGGAGAAGGAGGGGGGGAGAAGCTCTCCTTAGGGATCAAGGGACGAGTTTTGTTGTCTTAATAAATAAGATACATAATGCCAGAATCAATACTAAAGAACTTGAATGAGTTTTAAGTGATTGTGTCTTAACATGGACTCTGGTCATTAAAGTAAATTGTTAAAAGCAGGACAGTGTTTTTGTGTTCAGAACACAAGAGGGCTTATGAAATGGGCTGGCTGCCTGGGGAGGATTGCACTAAACTGTCCCTTAATCTCGCTGAGGCAGCAGGGGGTGGATCCTCTTAACTGCAGGCTGATAACTTTGTGATGTTTTCTTTCATTTGGGAGCACTTCATTGCTTTTAATGTTGAAGGAAATAACAGGCTCCCAAGAGATCAAGCAAGAAACACACAACACAGTCACAAACTTTGTAATCTTTTCCTCATCTAAGAGACTCCTTGAAATGGGCAGTTTCCAGACATTTTCTACAAAGCTTCCATTTCCGTGGCTAGAATTAAGTCCAAGAGTTAGCCCTTTTCAAAATATCGCAAAGGATCAGGAATGTGTGAGAACAGGAGGTCTGACAGCAGCCAGATCCAGAAATGGCAATCTATCTACCCTCTATATGTTTAGAATAACTCAGCTTTGTATTCGTTAGCTAATCACAGAGTATGTCTAGAAAGGTTCCAAGGACTTACTATCTCTATTAAAAAGGGGGACAAGACCAGAGAAGCGGATCCCACAAAGCAGCAGCAGGCATACTCTTCTGTTGGTGGAGACCTTACTGGAGGAGACAATAAAGGAGAATATTTGTAGCTAAGGGTTGAAATGGGGGGGGGGTTTTCCTGGTGCTCTCTGAGCTTGGTTGTTTTCTGGCAGACATTTCATTACCCAAACTAGGTGATAGCATCAGTGCTAGTAGTGCAGTAGTAGTACTACTAGTAGTGCTAGTAGTAGCTAATAGATTGTTAGCACTGATGATGTTACCTGGTTTGGATAATGAAGCATCTGCAAGAAAACAGCCAAGTTCAGAGATCTCCAAGGACCCACACACACTGGAGGAGATTTGTGTTTTATCTTTATGTGCGTTTGAATTATATTGGCCCTTTTCACTCGTATCAGCTTGCAGAACTAAGTAACTTCCTCACTCCCTACTTCATCCGCCAAGCCTCAGATATTCACTCATGAGTATTCAATGTTGCAATTTTATAGGAATAAGCTTTTCCAACAGAACCGATTTTTGAACGTAAACTATTTAAGCACTCCTAAATTTTTGGTTGAGAATAAGAACAGAACTGGGCACCAAGATAGAAAATACTTTATTTAAATACAGGTAGTCCTCAACTTACAACAGTTCATTTAGTGACTGTTCAAAGTTACAACGGCACTGAAAAAAAGTGACTTATGACCGTTTTTCACACTTACGACCGTTGCGGCATCCCCCTGATCACATGATCAAAATTCAGATGCTTTTGTCAACTGACTCATATTTACAACTGTTGCAGTGTCCCGGGGGGGGGTCATGTGATCCCCTTTTGTGACCTTCTGGACAAGCAAAGTCAATGGGGGAAGCCAGATTCACTTAACAACCGTGTTACTAATTTATCAACTGCAGTGATTCACTTAACAATTGTGGCAAGAAAAGCTGTAAAATGGAGCAAAGCTTACTTAAAATAAATGTTTCACTTAGCAATAGAAATTTTGGGCTCGGTTGGGGTTGTAAGTTGAGGACTACCTCTACTTTCCTAAAAAAAAAAAAAAAAAAATACATATTCTAGTAGAGAGAAGTTCCCTGAGGATGGGCTCCAGCACAAGTCCAAAAGCTCAGAAAACTAAATCTCTGGTCCCAGTGATCCACCCAGATTGGATCCTGCAGAAAATACTTGGCCCAAATGAAATACACTCACCTAATATTGCTGCATCCTATAACCGCCAGAACCGACGCCAGTGTTGTAATGTGAGAAGCAAGGTTATGCAGTCCTTCAGATACGAAAGGAGAAAGCTATGTTGGAGATCATAGCGGCGCACACCAAACAACTGTCTGCAAGTTCTTAAGGCAGCTGTGCCTTTTCTTAAGATCATGCAGCTACCCTTTGCAAGCTGCAGCATATTTCCAGGAAAAGATACCCTTGGCTTAAGGAATTGCCAATGCCTGCTATACAGGTACTCTCCCATGTGTGTTCTGAAGTACCTTTTCCCCTTCATACTATCCTAGTGTGAATTAGATGTGCATGTTCTCTTATTCCCCTTGCTTTCATTTTGTTCTGCTGTACATAATTGCAGAAGAATTTCATTTGAGCAATATGCTTATATAAATGTACCAAATGGATACTTCCTATGCAAATATCCAGATCAGAGCATAAATTATCCTGTGTTTTCGCCACATAATTCACCTATAGGTAGAAACTTGCCTGTCCATTCAGCACAGATTTTGAGAGTTTAAAGTTGTAAGGAGCCCAAAGCATAGAAAATTGCCAAAGGTTCTGTGGGTGCTCACACTGTGGTTAGATTCGCACAGTTTGTCAGACTGGGCTCAAAGGAACTTGGGCATTAAGATCTTTAGTGTGTTGTGGGAATCTAATGCACAGATATAGTATAGGTGGTACCTTGCTCAATAGTAGTAACTGTGAGAGAGACCTCGGAGTCCTAGTGGACAATCACTTAAATATGAGCCAGCAGTGTGCTGCAGCTGCCAAAAAAGCCAACACAGAGCTGGGCTGCATTAACAGAGGGATAGAATCAAGATCATGTGAAGTATTAATACCACTTTACAATGCCTTGGTAAGGCCACACTTGGAATACTGCATCCAATTTTGGTCACCATGATGTAAAAAAGATGTTGAGACTCTAGAAAGAATACCGAGAAGAGCAGCAAAGATGATTAGGGGACTGGAGGCTAAAACATATAAGGAACGTTGCTGGAATTGGGTATGTATAGTTTAATGAAGGGAAGGACGAGGGGGGACATGATAACAGTGTTGCAATATCTCAGGGGTTGCCACAAAGAAGAGGGAGTCAAACTATTCTCCAAAGCACCTGAAGGCAGGACAAGAAGCAACAGATGGAAACTAACCAAAGAGAGAAGCAATCTAGAACTAAGGAGAAATTTCCTGACAGTTAGAACAATTAATTGGTGAACAACCTGCCTCCAGAAGCTGTGATTGCTCCAACACTGGAAGTTTTTAAGAAGAGACTGGACAGCCATTTGTCTGAAATGGTATAGGGTTTCTGGGGGTTGGACTAGATGACCTTCCAACATCGTCATCATCATCGTCATCATCATACCAGCCCATTGTCTTAGTATGGTTTATTTGTTTGGGCACAGCCTTTTATGTAAACACAGC